TGATTTACTGCTCAGTCTCATGCAAAAGCTCTGACTTTTTTGGTTTTTGATTTGTTGGTTGTTTGTTTTTTTTTTTTACAACTCCAGAAGCTCCACCCTTGGCTCAGCGCATCCAGTTCCAAGAGAAAATGGCCAGAAATTCTCTCCCCATCGTGAAATTTCACATGGAAGAAGCAAGCCAGCTGCATCGGCCACATTCTGCTTCTATAACCACTGTGAAATGTGAAGAGATGCATAAACCTACATGGAGAAATAAAAGCTCTTCCAGTACTGCGCTGAGGCACTAGGAAGCACATGTACAGGGTAGCTAAGCCTCTCTCTTGACATCAGTTATGCCAGATGACCTCTTGGCACTTCAGTTTCAGCCAGACAACAATGTAAACGTTATCGTGCATAAAATGAATTGTTGTCACAATAAAAAGAGGTGCTACAAGTTTCCAGGGAAGCCAAGACAAATAGGAAACTGAAATGGTTAAAACAACATATAAACAAAAGAAAACAACCAAACATCACATGGCAGGAGCTCCACAAAGAGCTGGCCCAAACCAGCTCTCCAAATACACCCAGAGGGTGAAAGAAGCATCTGCTCCCACACACATGTTGTGACCAGTGTCTGCACCAGCAGCCAGCACTATGAAATAAACGACTCCAGAAAGCACATAGAGCCTTACCTGCTGCCCTCAACCTTCCCCACTGGGCACTGCTGGCTCCACCTAGGCAGGGCTCTCCTCCAAAGCCTCTCCCACCTCCAGAGCAGCCAGACCACTTATTCCTGCAGTAAATACAATTTACTACAGCTGCTTTTAACATACACCCCTGCGAACTGAGCCCACCCACCACAGGACCCACAAACCTCCTGCCCAACCCCAAACCCTATCAGCAAAACTGATGTCCCTGGGCACATGGGCACTTTCAGGCAATCACAGCCCCTGACAGCTGCAGCTGCCATCCCTCAGGGAACCCTAAGCTCTGCGGAGGGAAGAAACAAATCGAGAAATTGTTAAAAAATAGCTGCTTTCCTCCCAGTCTCCTGCCCAGGGCTGTTAATTAAGTCCCTAGTGAGAGAAGCACACCAGTCCCCCAGTACTTTTCACAAACACCTGTGGAGAAATGAGAGCTTCGACCAGGGCTGAGACTGGGCTGGGCAGAAATTTGGAAACCCCTTTCTTCTCTTAGTAGACTGCAAAGTGTCTTGGGATCTGTTTTCAAATTAGCAAAATATTTCAGGAATCGCAAGGTTCGTGTTCTTGTAGTACACATGAAGCCATGGGCTACTGTGAAATGGCCACCAACTGAGGCATAATATTGCTTTGAAAACCATGAGGTGATACAAGGCCAGAGCACAGTTAGTGCAGGTTTTATAATATCACTGTACATCCAGGAGTCACTGTATGAATTTTACATCCTGCCCTGGCCATCCCAGCAAACTATCCCTTTATCTCTCCCTTGTGTTCACATCCATCTTTACAATGAGTATGAAAACAAAATAAACTTTTTTCAACAGGGTTCTGCCTTCTAAAACAAACAAAATAAAATGTGTGGTTGGAGCTGTGAGTTTTCCTAATGCATCAGAACCATCATCCAACTTCATGGGAAGGACCACAGAGCTGATAGAAGACTCTGACCTACTTGATTTCTCAGGAAGAAGCCTTGGTATTTATGAGCTGCGAAGTCTGTCCTTCTCTGTCAGAAAAGAAAGCTATAAGACTAAGACTTAATTCATTCCTCCCACACATCACTCCTTTAAAAGTACCACACCACTGCTCTAGGTTGATACACTTTATTCAGTTTTCTTCACTGAAGAAACTTCACTTCCAGCTTGTCCTTAGAGCTGATGAAGTCACTTGCCCCATAACCTGATGGTAAAATTCACAATATACAATGCACACAAGCTCCCAGCTGGCTGCCAGATGGCAAGAAAGTCATCTGATTCCTATTAACTTCATTGGATTTGAACCCAGGAGTTGAAGAGCCCCATATCTCACCGCCAGTCTTGGCTGAGTCAGTTCCCTGCTGCCCTCCTTTCTTTGAACATTCAGATTCCATTCACACAACAAGACACATGTCTAGCCAAATACCACCTCCAGCCCTAGCTAAACTAAATCCAGCTACCCACGTGAATGATGAGCACAAACTTAACTACGCAAATCTCCGAAATACATTATCTGAGCAGACACTTGGGGTGATCTCTCCTATGGCAAGTATAGCCAAACCACCTGCACTATCTTCCAGAAAAAGCACTTTAAATATAGTAATGATTTTAAATTCTTCACTTAGCGTAACTGCTCACATCACTTTGCAGATTTAAAGCCATGAGGCAAAGGTATGTTAATCAACCCAGATTTATGGCAAAGCTTAGAACAAAACCCACTCTCTGCCCATAGTGTTAAGCAGTAACTAGAAACACAATCCTCCTGTATATTAACACCTCCTCTTCCCGGTGTCATTGAGAATAATGAGATAAAAACTGCAGCAACATAGCATGGAATGGAAATTAGTTAGAAGTCCTTGATAAGATTGTCTTCATTGCAAGGTGATACTGCTTTGTTAGTTTCCAGCTGACACACAGAGAACTGGCAATAGCCTTGTGGTATTGCATGGAGCCTGAAATGCATGCATTCCCACTTCTTCAGTTGAAAACTGAATGTCACGAATTGATTTTCTATTCAGCCTAGAAGTGTCCTTCATGACCTCAGACCTCAGGCAGTTGGCCTGAGAGCTCACCCTAGAACTGCAGATTTTGACAGGAAAATTCTGTTAGATGTTACACCATAACTTTGTTTGAAGGGTGTGGAGGAAATGCTGTCCAACCTGTTAACTGCGTAAAAGGTCCTTTGAACTGTACTTACCTGTTGGCACAGAGCTCAGTTAGGCAATCTTAAATGTTTGCATTTGATTATACATATAAAGAAAATGTGAAGCTGTGTCACATTGAACTAAGATAATTTCAAAAAGACATGGATAAACGGCTCAGGAACACACTGCAGGAACACCTAGAGATCTCTGCCAAGGGAAAAACAGATGAGAGAAACCTCAGGTCAGCCTTTTATGTTAATTCATCTGATCATTCATCCATCCATACTGTCACCATCCTCCTCTTCAGTGCCAATGGTTTTCGATAAAGCACAAGGAAGGAAAGTTTTGAATGGACAAAACACAAAATCAGTATCCTCATATGTTGGCCAGTCCTCATATTTGCACTGGATTCTCCCACAGCACCTACATTTTGGGAGAGTGAAGTTCATGTTGCAGACTCACATGCACAGAAGCACAGCAACAGGCAGTTATCAAGGGTTTTCATGGGACTGGTGGTAGCATAAAAACACACACAAGAGAACAGAAAGTATTCTTGTTACCCAGTATACAGGCACCCCACACTCCCTGTGTCCAGGCTCCCAGAGGGTATTTGTTGTGTAGTGTGGAAGAGCTGGTAATGGGGAAACTACTAGAGATACAGAAAGGCAGCTGCTTTGGTTAACACTGTGACTGTTGTAGAGGAAAAATTTAGGGATGAGTAAGGGAGGGAAAAGACAAAAGGAAAAAGATGCTTAATGTCAAAGGGCTCCAATGCACATCCTGATTTTTAGCATCAGCCCTTTTGGGTTTACCCACATTTCTATGGAATAATTCCTGTGTGGTGAGAAAGTAAATGTAGTTCTGCAGGCTATATGCCAGAATATTCAGGACAGTTGTAGATGATTTATAACTTAGAAAAGACACTGAGATCAGTGCTTGGACCACACTGGCTCTTTCTCTATGACAAGGCACAGGTCTATATAACGCAGAGGGATTAGGGCCTATCCATCCATTGAAGACACTCATGAGACATCAGGATTCTGATGCCAGGGGAAAAAAAAGTTCCCGTTTACTGCCTCCTGGCTCTGCCTAATGAGCTGCAGCATATCATGTGCACCACTAGTGTTTTAGCCTCTTTATTTGCTTACAAAGCAGATGTTTGACAGGCACAGAAATAATTCCTTCAAGATCTGCAACAGCTGTGGCCAGCATTCAGATAAGAGGCTCGATATTTCTACAGCCATCCAGCCAAGGCCTTATGCAACTTGGTTAAATTGCCTTTTGAGACACTGCCTTGCCAGCTCGAGTAAGTGGCAGATACCTCTCTATGGGAGAAGAAATAAGTCTTTTGTTAGACGTCAATTTGCTTTTCCTTTGGGCTCAAATTTTGAAACACTTTATTTTTTTCCTCTGTATTGTTTTGGGAAGGTTTTCATAATGTGGAGTCTTCGTGCATCCAAACACGTGCTGCTCCTGCCCCTGCCAACCTTCTGTGCTTTGGTGTGGAGGCACATCAACTCTGTCTCTGTATGAACAAAGAGCCTTCCTGAAGTCCATGGTGTTGAATGTCCATTTTCATAACCCTAGACCTCCTCCTGTCTGCCTGACACTGTTTACTCTGTGCAGGGTAGAGTCTACAGCTGATGTGTGAAGTTTAAAATGTTCTCTTTCCAGAACTAAAATATCATTCTGTGACCATTCATTAAGGAAAAGAGAAACCAGGCTGAACTCATCAGTATCCCTTTGGATATCTGTCAACAAGCAAAGGAATGTCCCAAGACAATTTTGCACACAAAATGGAAAATGTGGGAAGATACAATTTTGCACACAAAATGGAAAATGTGGGAAGATACAATACAGAGGTACTTACCCTCTGTGGACACAAGCCGTCAGCAGTATCTCAACGCTGACCTAGTATTTGCTGACCTAGCAAACCCAGTGTCAGGAATCAGTGCATGGTCTCAACCAGCAGCAGGTACTGCAGGTTTGGCTCTTGCTGGTTAAAATATGTTTTTGCTATAGTCCACATCTATGTTATCATCACAGCTTCTTGGTTCACTGAAATCATAACTGGCTCAGAATTTAAACAAAAGAGCTGAGTACGCGAGGCAACAGCAAATCTACCTGGCACATTTCACCTGTGGTTTTGGGATGCTAGAAGTAACAGAATATATGCTGATGACATGGAAGAGCTGACACCAAACCAGATGGAATTAACCCACAGATCTTTAATTAGGAACACTATGGAAAAAGTGAAGGTAGAACAAAAACTTTCAAATTTCCAGTGAGGAGCTGAGAATAAAACTGAGCTTCATCAGTTCAGACACAAATTTCCTCAGGCTTGATTGCTCTGGGAGTGGTCATCACAAAGGCAGATCTAGGAAATAGAACAAACATGAGTGAAGTTCAAAACAACAGCACACGACCACTCTTTGCAAAACAGGAGTCACAAAACAGTCAAAGGAACTATTGATACTTCACCCTTCTATTGCATCTCCCTTTGGAGGACTTCAAAGTGCTTCATCAAAGACACATGTCAGATTGTGATGCTTTTACTCATGCACATGGCTGTCTATGTGACCTCATTTGATTTTATGGTCCAAAGCAGTATATGAAGTACAAAGGGATCAGATTCCTGCCCTAGCTGATGCCATGTCAGTCAATTTAGGATTGTTTTTTACTGATGAAAACGTCGAGTCAGTAATTACTGACACTTTCTCTTGCCACTAGTCTTGATATTCAGAGTCCAATGTAACATCACTAAAAAAACAGAACTCTGAAGATGAAAGTACTAGTCAAGGAAAAATGGAGAAATACCTGAGGTGTTAAGCACTGCTCTCAGTGGTTGATACAGTGCATACACAACATTACTTACTGCATTAAAAGGTATGAAGATCTCTGGCCTGCTCTTACACTTGGTCTTTCAGATTCAGATGAGGGATCATCTTAGCTTTTCCTTGCACTCATGTGAAAGGTGCCTGAAGACAGGCCCACTGAGGTGTGGGTAAGCTGAATCAGGAGCCTGTTCTGTGCTACCCTTCCCCCTTTCTGAAAGAAAGGTCAACCCACAATGGCAATTCCATGGTGAGTAAAGTGGTGACCATTAGATCATCATAGCATGGCATACTCCTATTGTTATCATGATCATCCTAATAAAGAAATCTTCATGAGGCTTCTCTTGGGTGTAGCTGTCATTAATAAGCATTTCCTCTTGCAATTTATTTCAGTTTAGTTAAATGATAATTCCACTAAGAAACAGTGTCCATAAAGCAATGGTATATATGACATGATCCTGCAGATGGTTAACATTTAAGAGAACTAAAAACATCTTAAATGCTTTTAGGGACATTTCACAGTAGTGAGAAATGAAATTAGATTAGATGGATTGGATTAGAATAATTTTTTTCTGGCCTATGCTATTGGGGATTTCTAGGAGCTTGAAATCACATTGTGAATCCATTCTTTGAAGTGGAAAGAAATGGACCAGAATTTCCTAGAGATTTTCTGCTGTTTCTTTAATTCCCAGGTGCAAATTTTGTTAATTCTTCCCCTTTTAGACCCCCTCTCCGAATTTTAAGTGAGTGTTTAGAGAAAATCCTCCTGAGCTCTGGCCAGGCTTATTGAGGTAGGGACTGCCTGTGTGTCCCCTGCCTTTACATCACCTTCACAGCCCAAGACTGGGGCTTCTCTACTCTGCCATGATCAAGTCAACATCTCTGAATATTCATTAGAATCTTTCTGGCTTTGTGTCATGTTCAAGTGTTGAAGTGCCCACTAATACCAGAGATGCTTCAGTGTGGGAATCAGATCCAATTAGACACTGTACCTTCATGTTTCATCCAGTAGCCCACAGTTTGAGTCAAGGCAAGCAACTGAAATGCTGATCAAGGGGAATGGAGTCCTCTTATTTATCTATGGCACAGATCAACTCAAACCATAACTGCTCAAGAAGATGAGAAAGAATGCTTTGAAGCGCCAGTGCAGCCCTGGGAGCTGTTTCACAGCAAATATCTTCATTGTAGTGTTTCTCTTTACTCAAGTATTTTCAATTCTTGGTGGTTCTCATTGATGGTGTTTTAGCTTACAGAGGTTCTTCAGAATGGTCAAGATCTTCCCCTGTACAATTGCTCAACATGGTCACAATTTTGAGACAAGCTGTGTTAGTCAAGGGCAGACCTTGGACTGCCATGCCGGAATTTTGCATTTGCAACTTTTCTGCAAGCATATTTTTCGGTTTGACTCTCAGGTCAAACATCTAGTTGATATATGTAGAAATAATCTTTTGTGGACACAACTCAAATGAATCTGAGTGTCCAATGAGAAAATTATTGTTTGCAACTGATTGCACTTAGAGTTGCAACACAGGGGAGAGTGGTTTTTTGCTTTTTTCCCCACTCGTCGCCTTTGGAAATTTCACAACCTACAGTTAACCAGACTCTGAGTCTGAGCTGAGGATCTTGCAACACTGGTTTATCTATGCCACTGAAAACCAAATCTGTACAGCGTCATAACTTTCATTGATCCACCAGGCTGGATCCAAGCTGATAGCAGATCCGATGCGATCTCAGGCAAAGAAAAAGAATAAAATCAGATCTGTTGATTCAGACTGACGTGGAATTGCAGCCTGGCAGCACATAAGCCTTCTGGTTAGCAAACAGACTGCATGGCCCAAAACTTCATTCAGGACAAACTCTGACACAGTATGGTAAGGCAGACATGTCCCCATCACAAACAGAAAGATTCTAGTCTCCTGGGACCTGTGGGGTACAGCCAGAAGAGGTACTACAGACTTCCTACAGTGCAGGGTCTTTGAAAGCTACAGCCCAGGGCCAGAGACCCAGATGCTCCTCAAGCAGATAACCTCACATAATCAATGTTCACTAGTCTTGCTGATGAGCTTTATAAATGCTCTCATTGATGCTCTTGGTATATATGACCTGGTTGGTTTTGTTTGCATTTTTCTCTCTATTTATTTTCTGCTACTACATTAATGTAGTCCTCCTTACACTCACTATTGCCTGGATCTGTCCCACAGTCTTGTTAATGATGTCACAAGCAGGGTTATGACTACTTGTGACAGCACATGCAAAAATAACCCTTCAGGAAATAAGGAAGCCACTGGAAGGACTGACATACCAGGAGGCAGGAATCCCACTTCTGTGCGAAATGTCCCATGTCAATAAAACATTAAAGAGGGGGGAAAGTATGTGGAGTGTAAGGAGATCTGCATCAAGCATTGGATTTTCCTTTAAATCTCATTCCAGGCTCAACAGAGAGACAAAGGATCAGGGACTTCACGTTGTTTCATCTCCTTTGTTCTGCATTCTTGAAGGGAACAAGTGAAACCACAAGGACTGACCTTTCCTAGAACCTCTTCCGCTTTTCCTGGAAATCAGTCTTCAGTCACATGATAGGGTTTTACTGCTCTTTAGGAATTCCAGATCCTGAATGAGGCAGACTGTAAACAAGGAAACCTGACACCTCAAGGACAGAAGGAGAGAACAAGATGTCCATAGACACGCTGGAGTGTTTTCGAGCACTGCAATGTGTTCTGTGATTTGTTTATAAATGTACCTGTCTCTGAGTGTACACACACATCTATACACAGTCCTACAGAGTACATACTATCATTTTTTCTCCCACATCTCTCTGAAAGCAGAAAGACTCAGTCATAAACAAAGTGGTATTCTCCAGGACAGGCACTGCTCTTTCAGCCCAGTCGCTATCACAGCCCTCCCCTTGTGTCTGCAGTTCTGTGGTTTCAAACCCAGTTGTTTTCTAGGATAAGGCAGGGATTGCAGGGCCTTGTTTGTGGGTGCAAGCAGGTACATGAGCACCACAAGCTGTCACTCACTAACGGCCTCTCTCAGTTAGCTGGTTATTAAAAACCAGTCCAGCTTTTAAGGACCATAGCTGACTTTGTGGATGCTGGAAACAAGACATGGGCTGGGTGCTGAAGGGCAAACAGATGACTTTTTTGGCAAATAAGAAGTATGATTTAAAAAAAGAGATGGGACAGACTCTTCAAAATGCACAAGGAGAAAAAAGTAACTTGGAGAATCAGGGTAGAAGCTGGATTGGTATACCACACCATTGAAACCCTTCTCCAGCAGGAAAATGATAACACAGGAAAAGCTGAATCTTTACACTACAGCATGTTCTTTCTTCTCCAAGTCAGATGCAATTTAGAGTCCTGTGCCAAATGTTCACATTAACTGCAAAGAGCTCCTTAATCCTAAGACATTTTCAGTCTTAACATTAAACAGTTACCCCTTATCAGAAAACTAAACTTAATACAGCTGAAACTCACCCATAAACAGGGTCAAAAATGGTTTCTTCTCCCTCCATTTATAATAGAAAACTTCTAGACAGTTGTAGACAAACGTTTGCTATCAAGTCCTTCCCAAGAGAGTTACTGTCTTGCCATTTACAAAATGTTGATCAAGGAGCCCTGTTTGCTTAAGTCTGTTTTGGAGGCATAACTCTGAGTGGTACTGTGAGAGGAACATGCACAATCATAGCATCCAGGCCATTAATTAAAGCCTTATAAAATCCCAACTGAAGTTACTGGAAGGATTCCCATTGATGCATTAGATTTTGGATAAGGCTTCAAATACAAAAATTGAACTGATAAGTGCAGAGCCCTCTCCCCTCTCTTGCTGGATTTTTCCTGCTATTTGGATCCTTTGCATGTCAAATGCCATCAGGATGAATGACCAAATCTTTGCTGGAAAGAAAAGGTGGTTTATTTTGTGTGTGGTCCCTTCTGCATTGTGCTGGGGCTTGGTTCAAGCTGCCAGGTGCTGTCTCTCCATCTTCCTGGTGCTGTGGTATCTCCAAGGCCTTGCAATACCAACAAGGCTATGACTAACAGCACGGCCCAGAGTAAGGAAGAAGCCCTACTGCCAGTTTTGCCATATCCCACTGAGACAGGATGAGCTTTACTGGTTGGGGTGGACAGTGACCTTCAGAGTATTTAGCTGAACAGCTTCTCATAACAAAACTGTTTTCTTATGTTGCATGTGGAGCCATCACAAGAGCTATTCACAGAATCTTTCCTCAGTCCTCTCCATTGTTATACACTGGTTTAGCCCACAAAGCACCGAGATCAAAATATTGGAGTGGGATAAATGTGAAACTATTGGAAGGAAAAAAACTCCCTTATCTCAAGGACTGTGGTGGTACAGCTTCTTGGTTAGACAGCTGCTGGGGCTCATTTTGTTCTAGCCCTGAGCTAAGCATCTGCCAGATCGTTTTTCTGGTGCAGTGTTATTTTCTGTAAAAATAGAACTAATAATTAGATGGCGCTAATATGACTTGTACTCATCCTAAGAGGCCTAATAAATAGAGGAAAATTCATGAGGAAATAGACTTGGAATACAATGTTAGTACTAATCATAAAATTGAAAAATTCTGCTCCCTCAGAAAAATCAATGGGCCCATGAAGTCCCTGTTGTTCCCTCCTGCACGAGTACAGCTACACGAATAACCCACCACAGCTTTGCCATCCTGCAAGGAGCTGCCTGTCCGCAGTTGGATACACCCTTGGATAAATGTCAGTGTGCTTCCTTGGCCATGAAAGCATGGGAAGCTGCTTTCTACCCACTGCAGTGGCTCTTACTGGGCAGGAAAAGACAAGCCAGCAATCAGCCCAAATTTACCTTGCTCATGGACCCATAGCCTGGAGCTACTGCAAGACAGTTCTGGTTCCAGATTTTCATCTCTGGATCCTCTGGACATAGTTCTAATGGGCTGAAACATCTCAGAGGAGGAGGAAAAAAAACAGCCAACAGCAATATCTTTGGCCAACCAGCAGATTTTTCTTTCCTGACGATCCACCAGTGTGTAGATGCCTGATGGTTTGTATCCCTTCTGGTATTTTTCTCTCCTATCACATGTAACTGTGAATTCTCTCATTAGTCAGACTGCACTCATTCCAGCACATCATTTAATCTTTCTTTATCAAAACAGTGTATAGACAAAGCTAACTTATCTGAAATGTAGGTGGTCTCATCACTTCTCTCTGTGCTGTATTTTTCACTGCTCTATTCTTTTTTGAGGTAGTCATGCCAGGTAGCTTTTGATGAGTAACGTACTGTTCATGTTCATCTGTTGCTGTCATGTAGCTAACAAAGCCCCAAAGATGCCACCAAAGGTAAAAATAAAGCCCATTGCATGATACTGAAATCAGCTTTTCTGCATGAGTGTGTGCCCTAGGCCATCAGACAGCTCTTTTCCTTATGATTCTCTCAATCTCTCTTTGGAAAACATCTTGCTCATTTGCACAAAGAGAAAGCACAAATCCCCTAGATTTTACGTGAAGGAAGCATAACACCTCACTCAGAGTCATTTTATGAGCAATTAAAACTTAATTGCAGATACAAGTTGTTAGAGAGGGTGCAGAATATTTCTGCTGTGGCTACAGCCACTGCAGAGAGGCAAATATTCCCTGTTCTGGTTAGTGGGAGAGCATGCCCATTTCTTGGCTACATAGTCATGCATGCACCATGGATATTTGCAAGCACAAGGTAATTTATGTTAACATCGAAAATGTGTTTACAAGTACTCAGCTTCAGAAATCTGTTGTGTTGTCTTACTGTATAGAAGTGGCCAGCAGAACGCACTGTACGTGCGGCACAGATATAATTTGGATCATTGCTCAATGCCCAAAGGGACAGGGTTAATAAAGTAAAAGGGAACAGAGCACCAAAGCACTATTGATAACTGTATGTGCACCAGAGACCATTTCACTGACTTTGTGGAAGAGCTTTTTATCATGTAATTTCTCAATATTAAAAACAATGCTTGATACTGCTTATCCAGAAATCTACAGTTCCAACCAGAAAAATATATAGACTGACAAAAGGCTATTATTGGGAAAGTCACAGCAGGAATTGCAATGAAAAAGCAACTAGCCAAAGGAGAAAATTCAGTAATCAAGCACTATGACATAAAGGTTGGTCCAGGATCTGTAATGAAACTCAAAATTTGAATAGCAAGGGTGTAATTCTGGAAGGAATTCAGGGATCCCCACTCTAATTATTTCCATCACAAAGGTAGGAATGAAGGTTAAGGGTCTGCCCAACACCATATGACAGAGCCCATCCTAATGTGGAGCCCAGTGACTCCTGAATGTGGTACCATTTCCTTTCATCATGTGCTTGCTCCCTGCTTAGAACAGTAGGTCAAACACAATTTGTGACGACACCAGGAGAGGAAGAACCTGTGATAAGGGGAAGGTTTTAAACAGCAATAAGAATTAAAATGAGACTGCTGTGTTTTCATCATGGCAGAAGTAGAGAGAGCAGCCTAAGGTAAGTGTGGAGCTGGGGGTGCAGAATGAGACAAGACTAGAATGAGCAGGGCTGTTGAAACAGCATCAACCATCTCTGGAGGGGAGGCCTGGGAAATCCCCACATCCCCTGCTTTATCACACAGGGAGGGATTTGGGGAGCTGAACTAAAGGGAATAGGAGAAGGAGGAGGAAAGAGAGACACTTGCAAGCCAGCTGTGGGCAGCATTGCCCCCTGGAGTGAGGTCCAGCTGGGGGAAGAAGGGAATCTGGCCAACCTGAGGCACAGCTGTAATTTTAATAACCAGACGGGAGACTCAATGCCCCACCCAAGGGGCAGGAGCCGGTATATTTTCCTCCAGCAGCGAGGTCACCTTTTCATTTCTCACCTTGCACCGACAACCTCCACTTCAGCATGATTTGCTCTCGTGGAGGCACAGGGAAACCAAGCCAGACACTGCCGGATCAGAGAGCTTTGGGATGGGCACACTCAAACTGGTGGAGCAGCAGTTTGAGTCAGTCTTTTATGAAGTGGCTTTAGAAGCCACGGGACAGTGGCTTATACTGTCTCTTCTCTCTAATAAAGGCTCACAGAGGTCTTAGCTGGCTGTCCTGGCTGTCCCAAGGGAGGGAGGGGGAAGGACCTGACACGGTTTGTTTTGCACATGTTTTAATCAGCAGAGCAGTGCTTCATGAGTGCTCTTATACATGCCAGAAACAATCCTCCTACACGGAGTTGTCAGTGATATTAAACAGAGTGAGAAGGCAAGAAGGTCCAACCTCATATGGGCCAGAGCTGCTATTTTCAGGGTCAGATAGAGAGCCTGAAGTCTGGACTCTGACTTAGGAGAAGACTTTCCTCTCAATTCTGTTGGACAAAATGAACAGGCTCTGCCCTGGGGCAGAGGACATGGGGGTGGGGAGTGGTGACAGGAAACCCCTGCAGAAGCCATGGCTTTTTATGACAAGCAGTTAAAGGCTGGGGTTTCCCCACAATTCCTTGAGTGAACAAGTGCATGTCTTTCCTCTGCTGAGTTTGTGTTTGTCCTTCTCAGCAGTGCTGGATCATTGTTCCACTGCAGTTGTTCCAGTGACTGATGCTAAGAAGATAACACTGAGTTTAGACTGCTGGGAGCTTATAATTACTTCTTTTGAAAGTCTGTATAATATATACATGTGTGTCAACACTCATATATATATGCACACACATATATACATATATACACACTCATATATGTGTGCATGTATATATGCAGGTGAAGTTGT